GTTTAGGGTGATTTACATTCAAAGACTATTAGTTGCATGTTCTGCCGCCGTTAAAGAAAATAATAAAAAATTATTTTTATATTTAAATCTTAAACACACAATGTTAGTACATGTTTAATGGGTGTGACTTAATAGGTTTATGAACAGCTTCTCGTATTGTATGCGAAATACTTGCTTTTCGAATACGATATTCCGATCATATATTAGTTTAGGTCATATGAAATTTGTAACGAAATAATATGAGAAGACAATTCCAATTTCAAACAATAAATTTAAGAAAATAAAACTTGAAAAATAAATAGGAATAAGGACTAGAGGGACAACATGATTAGTGGCCAATAAATTAAATTAGGGTAGGTTGAGGTAGAGTTGACAAAAATTAATACGACACAAACCCAATACGAAATAATTGTGTATGGATAAAAAATTTTGACTTAATTATTTATATAGATCAATACGAATCCGACACGTACGGTAATAAACATGTCGGGTTAAAGTTAAAACCACCAACTCGAATCCGCCATGTATATGTAAAATAATTTTAGTCTAATATTTTTTTCTTTAAAAAATAGTCTACATATTAATTTAAATTGAGCAAAATCTTAAAATAACCCAACCAAGTTCCTTACACATTAATAGAGCCAACAAAAACTAACACGACACGACAATTCGACATGAATCTGATACAAAATAATTAAATTTGAAGCAAAGAATTTGACCGAATTATGCATACGGATTAATACAAAGCTAATAAGATAATAAATAAGTCCGGTTAAAATCGAGTAAATTTACCCATGTTAAAATTTAACCTGACACAAACCCAAAGACCTATTTCCAGCTATAATTGGGGGTGAAAGATATGAGATGATGAGGTTTTGATTGTATCAATTCCATCTAAAATTGATTTGGATCTTATGGATCGATCATGCAAGACTTGTACAACAAATTATATCCTCCACCGAAATTACGAATGGTGCTATTGTCGGGCCATTCCTGAGTTTTAATGTTACCCTAGGCCAAAAAAATAAATTAAAAATGCCCTTGTTTAGTTTTATTTTTTTATTTTTTATTTTTTTTTATAGATAAATGGTATAAAAATAATATATTTTTAGTATTTATTTATTTTTGGAATATTTTTTGCTCGGTTTGGTTTTGTGTTTTAACTGTATTTTGGATTTGTTTGTCCACATTTTATTTTATATTTATAATTTTTTTTATTAAAAAATATTATTATTTTATAAAATACTCCTCCGGCCCAGAACTATAGTCTGAGTTGTTTTTTATACGGAATATTGATATTATATTGGTAATGAGTAAAAAGTATGAGTAAAATACTTTTTTGCTCTTGTGAGTGTATTAGTGTAAAAATAGTGGTAATTGTGTAATAATAATGAAAAAGTAAGTGTACTTTTATAGTGATATAATTATTTATGAAAATGAGACTATTGTTTTGAGACGGACAAAAATGGTAAACATGGCTATTGTAATGAGACGAAGAGAGTAATATATTTAATTACTGTTTACATCAATATTTAAATAAAACAACTAAGATAAAAATATAAAAAAACATATGTAATTTATTATTATACATATGTTTATAATATTTACATAGATATATATATACTTCTTCCTCTGTCATATTTACCCCATCTGGGCTCGATACAAAAATTAAAATTTTTTTTTTTTAATTAAAGTAATAGAAAAAGTAAAATGATAGGTAGAGTATTTTTAAAAATTTAGTTGGTAATTAAAGAAAATAAAGAGAGATAATACAATAAAATTAGTCATAATTAAATATTAGTTTTTTTGAAATTTTCAAATATAGTAATAACATAAATTTAACGAACGAACGAAAAAAAAAATTGTCAGACAGAGGAAATATATAATTTTTCATAAAAGACGACCTAAAAGCATCGTCAAAATTATGGGACGAACTCATGACCATAAAGTTATAGGTTTGTACAAATGAAGATGTCATAGGTTTGTATATATATTCAGCTAGACCGGGAGACGTCGGATTTCTTTATATAGGTCTGTAAATTTATTTATTTATTTTTTAATAATATGGAAACCCGCAGCCGCTACTCTGCAGATGCCCTTTGGTAAACCCTCGGCTGAACCTAATAGTCTGCAAACTAGGCCGACAAGGCAAGTCATACTAAGCGAACCGTGTGTAGCAGGCAAAATCTGGAGGCATAGAGATTTAAACCTTTGACCTTCCGGTCACGAGTTATCCCCACACCACTAGACAGGGACGGAACTACACTAGGACTTGAGGTCAATTTGACCCCAAGCCAAAAATTTTTATAATTTTTTTTAGTATTAAAAATATTAATTTTTATGTATTTATATACAATTTATTCCCCTAAAACTATTTAAATTAATATATAATTATTATTTATTTAAGTTTATTAGCTAAATATTAAATAAATTATAACATTTTATTCCTCCAGATTTAGATGCTAGTTTCGTCGCTGCGACAATTGTTACAGTATCTGTACATTTATTTTTCCCAGGGGGTTTGGTGCATTGATACAATACGATTATTGAATACAGATAAATTATTTCAAAATGTACAAGCAGTGGTCCAACTTACGAATATATATAGTACAGCTCGTGGCCTAAAAATATTAGATAGAAATTGTACGGATGCATTTTAAAAACGAGTTAAAATATGTTTGTATACGTAGAAAGAAATATTTTATTTATTTTTGGAAAAAATTACAAAATATAATATATGTAAATTCAATTATCATTTCTATTTTTCAATTACCATTCTAACCAAATATATGTTGCAGCGGCATAATTTTTCTATTTCAGTATATTGACCATGTATAAATTTCTATTTCAAATTCACTTTCAATGTTAATATATATATATATATATATATTTATATCAAATTAAATGAATTTGGCTAAGGTATAGCTTTTAAAAGATTGAAGCACATATTTTAAATTATTTTTGAATTAAATATATCATATCATATTCCCAAATTGGTCAAACACCATCTCACTCATCTCATTTAATTAAAAAGAAAAATTGCAAAAAGGAAAAAAAAATCATATGTTGGTCCAAGTATGAGATTTGTTCACTTTATATTTTTTGCAATTATGTTTTTATATTAAGTATGAAAAATCATAAATATAATATAAAAATAATATTTTGTATTGAATTGCTGACTTTTCGTGAACGACTAAAATATACATATTATATATATTGTGCTAATATATATATATTAATAATTATAAATAATCGTACCACTTAATAAATATTATGTTACCTCCTATCTATAAAAAAAAAATATTTGACAAAAAATTAAAATGGTTTCTTTTTTTTTTTTTTTTTTTCTCAATACACCCACTCACGTTGGGATGTCAACCACTAGATCTATAAAGTTTTTATAGAAGTCACAGTAGTTAGCTCTTTCTATAATAAAAATTATAAAAAATTACTTACAACTTCTCTATAATTTCAAAACTCATCGTAAATTTTCGTATATTTTAAAAATTGCATAGTGTTCTTTTATATTTTTAAAAATATTATATTAAATATCTTTTTACATTTTTTGTGTGACGATAAGTCAATTTTTCAACTATATTTTTTGAATGACGGGGTTTCATGCAACGTTTTTTAAAATATAAAGAAATATCATGTAATTTTTAAAAGATAAGAAAATTTTACGCGAAGTTTCAAAACCACCTGGAATTATGGACAATTTTGCCATAAAAATATAACTTGTACTATATAGAAAGTTATAAATAAAATGCTCGCTCCGTCCAGAAGTATTGTATCGGTTTTACCTTATTTGGTTGTCATAAATATATCGATTTTTTTAAACCATATTTCAAAACTAATATCCTACAATTTAATGTATTTACAATAATATAACTTAAAAAAAAAGAAAAGAAAAATTAAAAGCAAGCATAAGTCCTAAGGGTATATTTTCTTTTACTCAACACAATTATTTTTATACATCAAACAATAATATTTTTTAAAATTTGTGCAAAAAAATAAAATAAATAAATTGATACATAACAAAGGAACAAAAAGAGAACTATAAGCATTTTTTTTTTACAGCTTAGCACATCATTTGCTATATGTGTATCATTTTCCGTCTGTCAAATTTATATTTTTTTTTTCATTTTTTAGTCTATTCATTAAATTTATTTCATTACACATTTTAGCAAATAAACAAATAAATATTTAATTATTATTTTTCATTAATGGACACTTATTTACTACACCAATATCACTATTTTTATCAGTTTCTCTTCTTATTTTTTAATTTCTAATTAAATTTTTAAAAATACCCTCAATTATCTTTTAATTTTTATCACTTATGTAATAAAATATATTTTTTTAAATTTCCGTATTAAACTCAAATATTCTAAATTCAACGAACCGGAGGAGTATTATAATCAATTATTAAGTCAAATATGCATTTTCATGTATAAAATACCGTATCATAAATTTACAATTTTTTGTTGTGTGTGTGTGTGTCTTTTTTTTTTTGAAACCACAGTAAAAAATTTTATCCAACATATGCACACACACCCACCCACCTAGGATTGAATGGATGCAAATTTTTGTTTAAATAATAGTTTGATTACTTCATATTTTTATTATTTACCAATTTTTTTAAGAAACACAAAAGACCATAAAAGCACAAGCAATAACGTTTTTAGGAGACTACCTCTTCATATTTTTACTATTTATGAAAAAATTTAGTTCAAAAATATCAAATTGAATACTTATTTTTTATCTTTTTTATTATATTAAAAATCAATTTAAATCTAAAAGATTACATCAACGATTTATTTATATCCCATCATACAACTATTTCAATTTAAAACTTTTATTATTTAAATCTCAAACTCAAAATCCAAACCAGCGAAAAAAATAAAAATGCCCTTCAAGTTTCTTCCATAAGAACCCCTAAGCTATACTCAATTTCTTTCACCATAGCTTCTTCAACTCACTTTCCATCTTAAAAAATGATAATGAAACTATTTTCCCTCTCTTTCCTACTCCTCAATATCATCCATGGAGTTTTTTCCCAACCACCTCCGTTGCAGGACTCCAACGGAGACTTGGTCACGGCTCAACACGAGTACTACATCTCCAACGCCGGAGCAGGTTTCCACGGCGGAATCGGACTCCCCGAGTGGGCGGGAACAAGATGCCCCGCCAACATCATTCAAATGGGGTCCGAGACTCAGCCTGGCCTCCCGGTGACTCTCCATCCGGTGATCCCACTCCCAAAATTCCTCCCAATCTACGCGAATCTTACCCTAGTCCGCATAAGTTTCTCAGGATCGGTCACTGGCTGTCTGGAGGGCGAGGGCTATTGGAGAGTCGAATATGTTGAAGAGGCTCAGAAAACCCTTGTTGTGGCTGGCACATTGTCGGAGGTTCAATTATCGAGTCAGTTCATGATTCAGCAAACCGGGGGATGGAATAATAATGTCTACACTTTTGTGTCGTGCGCGCACCTTAAATGCCGCGATGAAATTGGGCTTTACTCGATGGGCGGTCAGCAACATCTGTCGGTTATTTATCCCAACGAGTTGCCGTACACATTCAAGTTTGTTAAGAAGGATGCGGGGAACGGTATTCGGCTGCCTAAGTGAACTCAAGTCGTGATGAAAGTAAAAAGGTCCCGAGAAGAAAATAATCCTATCAAATTGTCGTAATAATAATAAGGTTAAAAGCTGTAATGCTCTATGTATGTTTGCTTTCTCCGTCTCACGACAATCATAAATAAAATCGTGCATTGTATGGATTGTGTAATAATTCGCTCTCCTTGTACTCTTTAATTTGCCTTTTCGTTTACATCTTTTCTTCGATTATTATTCTAATAATAGTAATTGGGACAGAACTATTAAAGGGCTTGGGGTCAGCTGCTCCCTCAGACCATCTTCAACCATCCGCTCTATTTTTGCAGTTGTTACAGTAAAAACGCAGTTATCTAAAGTAATTTTATTCCAATCATAAACTTCAATTTTTACTATAAAAAGTATATTCCTATATATTCCTCTTTTATATTATTTTATATAATTTTTCATATTTATAAATTACACCTCAACTTTAATTTATTTTTACATTAGATCCATACACATATAATTTATATTACTTTTCAAGAGTAAAATTATATATCAATTTAGAAAATAAAATTATATTACTTTCCAAAAACTAAAATTATATCACTTTTAAAAAATAAAATTATACATTATTTTTCAAAAAAAATAAAATTACATACAACTTTTTAAATATAAAATTATATATCATCTACTAAAAAAATTAAAATTACACAATACACCCAAAAAATATCAAAAATATAAAAAACACCACAAAAACTCACGGGGGGAATTTGGGGTTGGGTTGGAGCCCCTGTGCAGTGGGTTGGAGATGATCTCAAAACCAAAATTTTTTTTTTCTTTTTTATTGTAAAATTTTATATTTATATATATTCTAAATAAATTGCCCCTAAGTTTCAAAAGAATGTATTTTAAACGTAAAATTTTATTTTATCTCATGTTCTTATAATTTTTAATTTTTATTTAAAAAAAAATGAATGGTCGGTTTTAATCAAAAAACAATAGTTCAATAAGTTAAAATTAAAATCAAACCATAACAAAATTGAGTGACTAGACAGCTCCACCCCCAAAGTTCGGAGGCTGGTTCCGTTTTGCCGCAAATATATAATTACATATCTTATAATACTTCCACTTTATTTTTAACCACCCACTTTATATTAATATATCATTATATTTTAACTCATGTTTAAATGAATGGATCCGATATATTAGTATTTCCAATAATATTTAGTCACACTTATCACAAGCTGTGTTTTTATATATAAATTTGGACGACTATTTGTACATTTTGAAACGATGGTACAATCGAATCGTCTGTATTCAATAATTGTATCAACACACAAGACACGTGGGAAAAATAAATGGTGTGGTGGTTTATATATTTATCTTTATTTTTTGGATATGTAATTTTTCTAATAAGTATATATTGAATTTTTATATATAAAAGTTATCTCTAAACTTATTTTTTATTTACAGCCAAATATAAAAAAATTATTTTTGATTTAAAAGATTAACATGTATAATGTAAGCACCTGTTAATGGGAGTTTTTATATGTGATAAATTGTAAAAATCCCGTTTATCAATTTTGGCATATGTTACTCTCTTTTTCTTGGGTGTGTTTTCCACGAAAACAACAAAATTGTGCAAAGTGCTCTTATCGGTGCGGAATGTGCAGGTTGGTTGCATTGCAATTTTGTCGTGTATCATCTACTCTTTGGAAGAGAAAATAAAACATATATGAAGTAGTCGATGAGATGACTAGAATGTCTAGAAAATACTCTATAGTATTTTGGTGCAAATAGAATTAATTGTGTTACTTTACACAGCTAACTCCGAGGCTGTATGATCAATCTTCGGTATAGAGTTGGTGAGAGAGTGCAACTGAGAGAAGAATTCTAGTGAGAGAAAGGTAATTTCAACTTTGTGCATCTGATTCTCAGCGTTTTAAAGGTGTATTCAAAGTTCTAAGATCTTCGAAAATCCATCAAAAGAAGGAGAAATCGGAAAACTAACCAGAGTGTCAACCAACTCATAGATACCCTTGATCTTCTCAACTAGATTGGAAATTTGCAAAGTATTAACAGTCGGTTACCTGTGTAGGATATTGCAACGTAAATAATGAGAGAAGTTATATATGTTAGGGACTGTTTGGTGGTTTGAGTCTTTGTAACTTTATAATAGGTGACAGTGGACAAACTTCCGGATTGATATTTAGGTTATTTATAGCCGAACTAGTTCAACAAGCACCTTGTGTCATTTATGATTTTGCATGCATTTACATTCATTACTTCAACACTAAGTGTTTCTCTTTTGTCATTTGATCAAATTTCATTCCATTTTCACCTCCAAGCACATGGACAACGATGTTACGAACCATACGATGAAATTGAATGAAATTTTATCAAACGATAAAAAGAAAAACAACTATACTATTGTGATGCATGTGAGAGGTGAGAGTTCATGAAAACTCCGGTAGAATTTATATATATATATATTAAATATTTACTTATTATAATATAATTATATTAATTAATAATATTATAGATAAACTTTGAACATTTCAGTTTTATTCTTAATCATACAATTATGTTATATAGATATTAAAATTTTAATATATTACATCTCATTTATTTATTATACCATAAATATATTATGATATAATAGTGTCGCAGTGAAATTTTTCTGCTTTTGTTACTTTTGTAATTAACCTCCAACTCCAGCTTGCATGGAAGATTAAAATATATCATATATTGTTATGAAGTTTGGTATGGTATGATGCCGAAATTTACAATATACAAAATTTTGTTATTTTGGTATTTTTCTCATCGCTAAATGCAAATAAATATTTGCTATAATCATGTTACAAAATACTGAAAATAAGCTTTTGCAATATACATATTCTAAAATCCAAAAATAAAATAATCTTGGAAATAAACATCTTCAATTTACATGGATGTAAACATCTACAATAAAAATATATAAAACTAAATAATTACTATGTATTTATAAAATTATAAAAGTAATACGGTGGAGGTGATGATAACTGATGTTAAAAGAAGTAACTTGAATATTGATTCGACTATGACGTAGATAGGAGAGATAAAAAAATAATAATTGTAATACAGTAGAGTCATTCACCATAACAGATGTTCTAAGCTATCGGTGATACTTAAAATATCTCAGTCCCTCTCACGATTTAAATATGCGACGAATATAAAAGTAAAAGAAAAAGACAAAAATACCCTTCAAGTTTCTTCTATAAAAACCCTAAAGCTATACGCCATTTTCATCGTCCAAACATCCAAACCTTCTTCAATTCACTTCTAATCTTAAAAATGGTAATAAAACTATTTTCTCTCTTCTCTTTACTCCTCATACTCATCCATGGAGTTTCCGGCCAACAAGACGATGATAACACACCGGTGCTCGACTCTGATGGAGATGCGGTCAACTCCTCGACCGAGTACTACATCTCTTACGCCGGAGCAGGTTTTCGTGGTGGAATCGGACTCCCCTGGGGGTCTAAACTCAGATGCCCCGCCAGAGTTATTCAAATGCCGTTCCGGACTCAGATTGGTCTCCCGGTCGCTGTCAGGCCTACGCTCCTCGAGAGCCCATTCTGGCCGCCGTCGCCGCTTCCTATCGTATTTACAGTTTATGTGAATCAGAGCGTCGAAATTAGTTTCTCAGAATCAGTCACCGGCTGCCCAGATGGCCAGGCCTTGTGGGATGTCGAATTTGTCCCGGAGGTTCAGAAAGACGTTGTGGCAGGCACATGGAATCAACAAAAGAGTGAGTTCAAGATTCTGCAGACTGGGAAAAATAATGTCTACACCTTTGCATCGTGCGCGCGGTGGAGTCCATGCCGCGAGCTCGGGCTTTACAGGATGCGCCGTCGGCAGCATCTGTCGGTTAACAATCAGCCCAACGACTTGCCCTACACGTTCCAGTTTGTTAAGAAGAATCCAGCAAATGGTGTTGAGCTGCCCAAGTGATGAACTCAAGCTGTGATTATATATCGAATGCTAATAATAATAATAAGAATAAGAATAAGAATAATAAGGTTGAAGGCTGTGTTGTTGAGTGATATAAGAATGCTCTATGTATGTTTACTTTCACTGTCTTAATTAGAATCGACAATAATCATGAATAAAATCATAAATTGTATGGTTTGATTGTGTAATAAATCACTGTCGTTGTCTTCTTCATTGTGCCTTTTCTTTTGCATCTTTTGTTAGATTATTATTCGATATAACGCTATTACTTATTTCATGTATAATCATGTACCACTACTAGAAAAAAAGCTGATAACTGCAGAAATTTATCGCAATTTTTAATTCGCAACGATTAAAAAGTCACGGAGAGTAATTTCTTGACAAATTTATATCATAACTTTTTGCTTTTAACTATTTCGTGAATAATATTTGCAGAAAAAAGTACAAATAGCTTTCACTATTTAAAATAATGATTTATCTAACAAAAATATATATTTCTATATCGTGACTTTTGACTATTCCTTAAAAAAATTGTCACGAAATTTTTTTGTAACTATTTTATGTTGCGGCAAAATTAACCAAAATACTTGCAACATGTTGAATATTGTCCCACATTGATAATCATGTGGGAACTCCCTTAGTTTATAAAGGTAAAGGTCACTCCACCTATCAACAATTGGTTATAAATTGAAAGTCCGGATCACTTCTTCACGGAACATTTTAAATTATTACTATTTTAAAATTTCTTACTTTATCATATATAGTAATGGAAATATTACTATTTTAAAATTTCTTTGACATTTTGAAGAGAATTAATTATTGCCAAACCTTGTGTCTGTGTTGTTTTGTGTGTGTGTGTGTGTTTTTCGTGTTTGGAAATGGACAGAACTCCGATGTTTCATAAAAAATGGTCCAATGAGTCAAAACCATTGTTTTCCATGATGTACAACGTTTTTTGGCCATCTGATTTCATTTAGGACTTCATCAAATAGGTGTTTTTCTATCTTCGGGTTCTGTAATTATTTTTATTTTTTGGGTTTATTTTTTGTTTTAGAGTTTCCGACACTATAAATACATTGGTTTGTGCTTTGTATGTGATTTTTGTGAATAAAAAACTTATTCGATAATTTTCTCTTCTTTAATTATCTCTATGGGTGTATAAATATTAGGGTAAACTGGTTTTTTTAGTCCCGTAACTAATCCCTTGTCATTTTAGTCCCGTAAGTAGAGCCTGTTGCAGACTAGTTCTATAAGTGAAAATTTTTTGCTGTTTTAGTCCTCCGGCGCTGGAGATACCCGCGTGGCTCACCGGAGGTGACGTGTCCGCCAGGTGTCGCTGACTTGGCGGACACGTGGATTTTTATTTTTTTTCATTTTTAAATTTTTTTAAAACTTATTTTTAATTTTTTTTAATTTTATTTGTATTTTTTTATTTGGTACAATTAAAAAAATTAAAAAAATTTAAAAAAAATTGAAAAAGAAAATAAATAAATCCACGTGTCCGCCAGGTGTTGTTGACCTGGCGGGACACCTGGCGGACACGTCATCTCCGGCGAGCCACGCGGGTGTCTCCGGCACCGGAGGACTAAAACGGCAAAAATTTTTCACTTATGGGACTAGTTTGCGACATGCTCCATTTACATGACTAAAATGATAAAGGGATCCAATTACGGGATTAAAAAAAACAGTTTACCCTAAATATTATTAGTGGGTTTATATGGATGGGGTTTTGGTTTTACCATTTCTACTATTAAATATTTCATTTTCTTTCTAAAATTATTACATTCTGATTATTTTTCATACAAAATATCATATTCAATCGATAATTATTTTATCAAAAAAAATAGTACTAAAACCCAACACATTTAGTATCCGTACGTTGGAGTGTTCATTGAAATAATGTGACAGCAAAACTTTCATTAAACTTTATCTAAATCAACAAAATGATATAAATGAATTTTTGGAATACTAGAAAGACTTACCAAGGGATTTTCAGATTATAAAACAAATTTGAAACCTAAACAAGTGATAGACATTGTTAGAAAGAAACACGTATAATAATTTACATACACAAAATTTGTATCCATAAGAGTTGGGTGTTACACCTAAATCTAGGACTTACTACTCCCCTTGCTATCAACTACTCTTTTCTAAAAGCTTTGTTGGGTTTTGTACGGATAAATAGGGGTGAATAAAATATTTTAAAATCCGAATATCTTATTTAAATCAAACCAAAATAAAATTGGGATCAGATTTTTAAGATTTTTGGATTAGATTGGATTAATTTGAATAAATTTTTCCTAAATTTTGGATTTTGAAATTGGTATCGGTATACTAAATATCCGAATAAATCGACAAATCCAAAATTATTAGTAAAATAAACTACAAGACAGAAAAGGAAATTGGGGCGGAAGAAACAAAATCAAAACCCCAACTATTATATTTAAATAGTGTGGTATCAGTCGCGGTTTCGACATATCCGCTACAAAGTCATGTCGCCACACCTATGATAACCCAGAAAAAAATGACTTAATGCGCCGAGCTGCACAACAAATAAAACCCCAATAAAATATTGATGCTAAAATCGGCCAAAAAAATCAAATAGAATATATTATAGCACCAAATTTTGTTGTGAAAATAATAGGGAGAAAAACACATGAGAACACTAAGAATTAATTAACCAAATTTGATCAGAATGGCTAGGTATTTGCACTCATAATTTTAAGGTGTTAATTACAGAAAGACTACATTAAATATATTCATATGCTTAGGCCAAAAGTCCCGTACAAGTCAGCAAAATGGCAATAGTACCTCAATGACTTAGGGTCATAGTAGACACAAAAATTTAAGAGTAATATAATTAGTATATAATTAATAATATATTAGTAAAATTAATATAATATAATACAACTAATTAAATATTAAGATTAAGATAACTAATTAATCTAATTAAAATTAAAAAAATTTAAAATTTAAAATATGGTTAAAGTGTGTAATATTTTTTTTATAAAAAAAATTAAAAATGACTTGACACGTTGGACAGACAAAGATTAAAAATGTAACATTATATGTGAGACGAATAAAGTATGCTTAACACTGGCTCGTCTCCTTCAACCGTTTTTCCAGAAAAGATTTCGACATTCTGAGAAGAACTTCGTTTTATATTTAAGAACGTTGCGCCACGAACTGAAGGCACTATCAGAACATATTCGTTTTTACGATTGATTCCATGTGATTATACATAATTTTATTTTTTGATAATTGTTTGATATTTTTGCAGACATAATAATTTTCCAGCACGTATGCTATACTGAATAAGCATTGTAACTTTTTTTGTTAAATTTCATCTCTCCTAAAGGCAAGTTACACTAGACAAAGCATATGTAGCAGACAAGACCTGGAGGCGTTGCGAATTTGAACCCATAACATCACGGTCACGAGTTCAGCCCCCACACTACTAGGTCATCTCTTACAGGACTCATATCCCCTATTTTTGCAAGCGGATCATGTTGCTTTATATAGTAAATTATTCCTACATATCAACATATGTCTACAACTTTAAAACTCTTTCAAGTAGACTCTCAAATGAGTATTTACATACTATTGACATGAATAATCTAATTAATTCATTTAAACTACACACAAATTTTGGAGTATCACCATTCTTGAAATCAACCCTAGAATATTTTCTGGCTAGGCCGTTCACTATTCTCATGCAACATCCTTGTAAGAAAATTTGCCCGCTACAACGTGTTAAGCCAACAAATTTCACCATTCCTATTATGCGGAAGAGGTTGCCAATCTAGCAAATGATTTGCAGCAAACTCAAACTTGCCTCTTAGAAGAACAGTAATCTACATTGTGGTAATGTGTGTCGATCTTTCTAATTTCAGAAAGTCTTTATCTTAACCCTTTGTATGCTAAGATTTTTGCAATAAAGTCTTCAAAAGAACACTTTTGCAATCTTGATTGCCATGAAACAACTCTTCCAAAGATATCGTAAAAGCTATTTCAACCAATTGCCCGAGCAATCTCTAGTTGCCTACACACCATAGCATAGTCTTGCCAAAACTGGTCAAACCATCGGTTTTGGCGCGCGCGTCGAGATATGTATGAAACTCAAACTCAACCTTAAGTCATACTTAGGGTTTGTTTTTTTTTACCTAAAAACCTCAAGTTTCTACTATTTCGACTCTATGTTTCACGAAAAAAATACATATTTTTTTCTCACAAACTATCTCATCATATATTATTTTAATACCAAACTCAAACCAATATTTTTTCAAACTCATCAAAAGAAACATACCAAATATTTAATTTATACCATGAAAACATTCATTTAAGTGTTGAAAAAGATCGATAATAAAAGAATCTTATAAGGTGTTTATTCCCTTTAAGTCCAAATTCTTTGATAATCTGTAAGCTTCCTTGCATTAGTTTTAACTCACTTGGGACTTATAAGGTGTGTAATTTTTCTTCACCACTTCCAATGTGGGACTTGGGTTTGCACCCCAACAATCCTCCCCTCAAACCAAGGACCAACCAATGGACCTTCCCTACCCACCTTGTACCGTCTATCACAAAGGTACCCGCTGCCTGACCACCTTGATCGGGACCAACCCGACACCGCCAGGAGATTTTCGACACAAGGCTCATCCGCAGGTCACGAGGGCGAGCCCACCACCACAACCAATGCCCAATGCCATCCAGTCCGCTTCACCATCTAACCGGGCTCTGATACCATTGTTGGGACTGGGTCAACTCAACACTAGTATGATATTGTCCGATTTGGGCTGAGCCCGCACGGATTGGTTTTTGGATATTCTCCAAAAGGCCTCATTCATCTGCGTACGTCATTGCATTCTCATCGCCTCTCGCCCTGCCGTCGGAGGAAGCACTGCAATACCGATTCACCAAAAATCCGGCGCCGCGGCGGCAAGCAGGCTCCGACCTGTGATAAATAGGAAGCTCCTAGGTCTTCAGGTTCAGATTTAATCAAC